CTTGAGGACATCTTGTTAATCAATTGCGTGGTTGTCAATATTGCTTGCCCTCATAAGTGCTGTGGGACATTCATTATCATTATCATGCTCCAGTCTACCTCTATAAGATGTCGATTCTTCCTCTCTGCTGCTCCAATCTGTGTTGGTGTGTATAGACATGTGATTTGGTATTGTATCCCTTGAGCTGATAGGTAGTCCCCAAATGCTTTGTTGATATATTTAATTTTATTATCAGATCTCAATGCCTTCACAACTGCATCATATTGGGTTTGAATTGTTTTGTGGAAATCTTTAAAGCAAGCGATCACTTTACTTTTTTGTTTCATCTAATATATCTAGGTGATAGGATAGGATAACAATTCATAAAATTAGTAGGATAAGTTTCCCATACATCATAATATATCAAATGAAGCATACCAGAGCTTCTATTCCTAGAACTGACATAATTGATAAGTGCTTCTAATGAGCTTGCCAAACTAACAAGCATCACACATCAGTTTCTTTTTATTTGCGTTTTCATACATAGATGAATTCAACCAACTCAATAAACTAATACTAGAATGTCTCATATGTCTGTGATGTAGCAATAACACATCCTCCACATTCCTCCATGTTTCTCTTACTGCAACACTTTTCACCATGGATGCCAGAGTTGAGTCCATCCCCTCTCAGTCCAAGTACTAGAGTACGTTATGCCACGTTCCAAACCCAAGCGTTCGGTTAGTCTTTTTCTCTTGGAAGATCACCTAAGGAATATCAAAAGAAACAATGCATTTTAATTTGAGAATAATGACATTAATGGATTAAAGGTTTATTGGAAAACTAGGAGCATACAAAACATTAAACAAAGTCATATGATTGATACATCTCACTGTGCCCTTATAAATACATGTTGTCTTGTACCATCAGCAGTCTATATACTCTCTGATACCACTAGATGAGTATATTAAGAGAACTCCCCAACAGTACCTGTCACGTGACTAGAAACACCAAAATCTATGATCCATTTTGATGATCCTGTGGTGGAATAGAGACAAGAGCAAGTGTGTTACCAGTACTTTTGTTGAAATGAGCATGAGTGATTGTTATCCTTTGATGTCGATGGATTTGAGACACCCCCAGCTCCATCTCCTGCTGTTTTTTGCTTCCTCTTCAACAACTCCAGTAACTCGTGATTCTTCTTGGTAAAGACTAATCCTGTCCCAATCTCGTCCTCCACTGCCATCAGATTTGTTTGGTAGTCACCTCTTCCACCTCTTTGGTCAATACAACTATGACCACGATCTCTAGATTGTCCATGTCCATTTGTTTCTCTCTCTTTGGACAAGCTTTGCTCAGGTGTCCCACTTCTCCAAAGTTGTAGCAACTACAGGTCTCCCCTTGGGTATCTGTCATATCTGAGCTCGAGACAACCAAAGTTGATCGCGTACCTGAAAGTCCACTCGGCTTAAAGTGTAGTCTCATGTGACTCCTCCTGTATCATCGCGATAATGACCTCATCCAGGTTAGGAATTGTTGCCTGGGCTTGGAGAACTTATCTCCTAGTCGTCATCTGTGCAGAGATCTCCTCTTTCTTGCACTTCGGATCACCACAACTTTATATAGGTGAGAAGTGATCAAGATCTTGCCACAGACGCTCAAACTCTATGGAGTACTCTTGAATTGATTTATCACCCTGAGCCACTGTCTTTATCTCACGCTGAATTTGGAACATCTTCATGTGATTTTAAGCTAGCTTTACCCAGATGTCTTTTACTTTTCGAATGTCATCTATTGATAAGGCAATCGATGAAACTATCAAATTGAGTAGTTAGGTGTAAATCAATGCATGTGTGGTCTTCCACTCATCCCCCTCAATATTGACACTCTTTAGCTCTACTTCTGTCAGGTATCTTTGTAGTCTCTTCCCTACTAGAGCAGTTTCGATCTGACACGACTAACACAGATATTTGGCCGGTCCATCGAGCTTCAGATCCACAGGAGGAGATTTAGTTTTACCTATGTTGGAGCACATTTTGAGGTAGTGGCTCCCATCAAGATGCTAGTTTTCTATATGAGTCTGACCAAGACCTTCAAAACTTTAGGATTTATCTTCTCCAAAAATTTCAATGCTCTACCTTCTGCATTATCGCTGTCTCCTAACATCCTCAATCACAAGGATAAATCTAGAGCACACATAACATATGTGACTTCCTTCTTGCAAATTTGTGCGATCCGCTTTGTCTTAACCCGCACAAAGCCGCAATCTCTGTCCCGTACAACCGCTTATACCCTTCGCCTCCGTGCTGTTGAGTGGAACTCTAGAAATGAAGCCCTCCTCCGTTGCCTTCCTAACTTTTGAGCCACAATTCCACTGTTTCATACATAGCAAACCCATCGCTGCCTTCTCAGTTAGCTCTAATTGTGATTGTATCTTTCAGGTCGGATCACGTCGCAACTTCTTCGACGTTCTGCATGGCTGAGTCTGTTGCACCGTCCCTATCTTTCTGTACTATCTCGCCTCCCTTGCAGTGAAGCCACGTTTGAGCTGCTCGAGCCACCCTGCCCAGAAGCCATCACCTCCTCCTTCCCTATTCACACGTGACCCATGCTCTGCCCTAGCCCATCACAGCTGCTTCCTTACCAGTCCACTCGTGACCGAAGAAAGGAATGCAACACACAGAAGGGTCACACCGTTGTTTCTTCTCCTCCACTCTGCCTTGCCCGAAACCGCCGTTGTTCCTTCGCACGATGTCGTTCCTTCGCACGTTGTCATCACCTTAAGTCACTGAAGCGTTCGTTGCGACCTATCGAGCATGAGAACGGCTGCTAGGGTTAGGGTTGAGGCTCTGATACCAAATTAAAATTATTTGTTCAAAAAAATCTTGTTCATTTCATTGATGACAGGCTTATATAGAGCCTTACAAGTTACAACATTTACAAATAAATTCTTATACATCATCTATTGACAAATAGGACTCTACATTAGATACAAATCTCAGCACACTCATATTTACTTAGTATGCGCAATAAACTTTTTGCTAGTTTATTGCTTTTTTGGAGCTTAGAAATCCCTCCTATTAAGGAAGTGAATTCTTGAGATTCTCGAATTTTTTTTTGTATCACAACCATATGATATGAATTCTTGAAAGTGCTTTATAGAGAGATATAATGAATGTGCTAATAACAAAATTTGATCTTTAATATTAACAATTACATCAATATTTCTAAATTCTTGAATGATGGAATTAAATTAGTTTATATTTGATTTAATTTGTATGCATTCCTTCATGTGGAGCACATAGAGTGTTTAGTTCTAATAAATTTTTTTGGAAAAGCTTTTTTTCATATACAAAGAATCTAACTGGAGACAAACTTTTTACGGTTATTTTTTTCTAAGATCTCTAACATGACCTTGTTCAACAATCACATTTGAACTCCTTAGAGAAAATTCTCGTCCATCTCTGTTCTATCCTCACTCATAATTTAAGGCATATTGCTATACCTCATTTGTGCTTTTACAAGTCCATGTTGCACTAGTACCACGCATCTTGATTCTCTAAAGATCTTTTTGGGCCATCAAAATTTTTAATCTTGAACTTCGTAGTCATCATACTTTTCATAAATTTATTTATATTCCAATTGTTAGAACAAAGGGTGTCTCAATCAAGGGTCAAATACAATGAATCGCAGAGTAACTGCATGAGATTAATTATCATCAAAGAAAATAACAAAATTTATGTATAGATTGAATAATCATTAAACTTCAAAGTGTGTACACAAATAATTATATGTTATACAAAATTGGATATACGGTCATTGAAACTACTTTGTCTGAGAGAAAGTGCAATTGACTACTTTGAAAATGAGAATTAGACACAAAGAAGGATATGTTGTTGTTGCTTTAGTTATTTTTCCCCCTCTGTTGTAGGAGTTCAAATGAGAATTATTCTCTGCTATAATCAAAGAGCTTATTCTCTTGTTGGAATAAAAAATAGCAACTCTTTTTCCTTCTTGAAGAAGACTGAAAACTTCCCTTATATTCACCTAGATAAACTTAATCTTTTCTTTCTAGGATGACACCCCACTCCTTTCTTTATTACTTCTTTTTGTGGGATGTTATACAAGTGAGGATTATAAGAATTTACATAGTGAAGAGTTAATCATCTAACACTAGTTGTTAATAACCATTGAATATTTTTGTAGTCCTTTTTACTATATTGTAATGTCCATTTAGGATTTTATCGTAGCTACCAATTTTAAAAATTCAAGATCAAATATTATTCAAAATAGTATTGAAATTAGCATCCGTGCTTAACAAAGGAAAGCAAAAACCATAATACAATCTTACTCTTTAAAGGAGATTTTGCTGCGCTGCTTTCAATTAATTCTAGTCTTCAAGCTTATTCACAAAAGAGAACTATTCCTAGGGCCGGGCTCACACCTTTTAGTTGACTGTGTGCATGCCATAAGCCAGCTCATATGAGTTATATTATCTTTCTAGAGATTTGTACCGCATTCAAAACATTTTCCAGCACACAACATAGATGATGCTCTTTCAGTCTTCCTTTGGATTAGTTTGTTATCTTTACAAAGACATACTTTTTCCAGTCATTCTGAAAAAAAACATAAGCTGAGTTTCTTATTTTGAGCAATCAATTGAATGCTTCTGCTTCTCAAGATTAGAGGGCACCAGTTTATGGCATGGACTTAATGGCACAACTTTGTTTGCAGATTTTGTGGAAGTAATCCGCCCTTTATCAAAAGTTTCTAGAAATTCTATGTTTTGGGGAGCATGTCTTGAACGCCATTTCTAATCCTGTGGTGTTCATATAGGAGTAGAATCAATCTTGAAGCCATCTTCATTCAGTTTTTTAGGGATTATTTATTTTATTTGGTCATGACTTGTTTTTTTATATATTTTTTTATTAACGATTGGGTGTTGAATTTATGGCAAATTTTTAAATACAGCTAACACGAGCAACTGAATTTTCTATGAATTACATGAAGTTTTTATTTAGGCAAGGAATGCTTTATTTTACTAGTTCTTACATAAGACATACATAACTGGATAGTTTCTTTAGCGTCTTCTGTACATTGATTTTTTCACCACGTTATGTAGGCTTATCTGTTATTGTTCTTGAATGAGATACACATGATCACCATCTCGCACTGCATTGACGTCATCAATTTCTGCATTCTGTTTATTCACCACCTTTGTAGGTTTAAACCCCTTGAACTTCTGGCCTGCAATTTTCTAAGTTAAAAAAGTATGATTTGTGAATTATATTGCATAGGTTAACAAAATGTCTTCGTAATTTTCACATTTATTTATTTGTATAATATTATGAGGCGATGTGCATTTTAAAATGCTATTTTTTGTCTGTTGAATCTGTATATTCTTTCTGTTATAAGGTTTTATGTCAATGTTTTTGCTGAATGAAAGAGCACCTACCACCAATTATAAGCAGCTCGTTTATGGACTTGGGTAGAAGTATCAACTTCCCAAAATTTTCTCTTGATCCATGTGTTACTTTAGAAACCATATGAATGGTGACTCTAGGTATTGCCAATCTAACTGCATTGCTGAGCATTGGATGCACTGCACCTTCTGACCAGTTTGGTACTGTTATTTCAGGATTTAAGTGTCTAAAATGGGATTCCTGTTCCATGATTCTTTGGATCTGACATTCACTGTTATTGTTGGATTTATTTAGCAGGTTTTCTTCGCTTTTCATTGAGTATTCATGATTGATCTGTCCCTGTTTCTCGAAGAAAGCTCTTTCACAACCAAAATTTTGCACTTCACCCATGTTTACCTTGAAGCATGTATTCTTCATTTCAAATTGTGCGGCCATAGCCAAATTAGAATCAGTACATTCAGGTGCCATCCATGTTTTTCTTGGATCTTGATAGCCTTCCTGGTATAGTAAAGAGAAAAATTGATTGTTTGGGAATGGTGCCAGACCTTTGTGTTCCACTAGTAAATTTCCATTAGTCTCCAGCTTCTATAAAACAATGCATATAATCATCAGCTCTAGCTTCTATTGAAATTTGGAAAATTGTTAAAAGTTGAAAAAGTTGTTATTTTGAAACTTGAAGTGTAATTTAAACCTGGAGAAGGTTGTTCATGATGATGGCTCCATCCATTATGCTTTCTCGAATAATATTAACAAGTATATTCTTACTTAGCCTCAGAATTTGTGATAGCTCGATGGTCCTGATGGTGAATGGTTCGGGAATGTTATATAGAACACCTACTTCGCCAACAATGTCCCCAGCATAGGCTCTTCCTTGAACCTGGATTATTTAGGGAACTTAGTTTGGTTCATAATTAAATTAGTAGCACTCCATGTCTCTCTCTCCCTCCCTATATATATATATATATATATATATATAGAGAGAGAGAGAGAGAGAGAGAGAGAGTGTGTATTTTCCTTGTGGACTCTCTCCGTTTGTTTTGACTACTTTATTATAAGAACTCATGCACGTGTAATTATAAATAACATTACTTGTTCGGACCCATCTGTACTTGATCTGAATTCCTGCAACAGATATAATCAAAATAAACCATACTGTCATACATAGTTCAAAAGTGCCTCAGCATAAACCCGAAACTGAAGAATAGTAGCAGCAACTAACCACTGCTCCTGAAACGAGTATATAAAGATCTGTTGGTACTTCATCCTGCAGAACTATATCTTCCTTGGGTGGGAAATACTCAACCTGCATCTCAGCCAACTGCTTATAACAAGGAGGTGGTGTCAGATATTTATGTCAGAAATTTGCATGAGGGCTGTCTACAAATTTCTGGTTTCAGAACCGTACCAGTTGATTGAGGAAATGATGATGAACTCCTCTGAAAAGATACACATTTCGAACTATAGGAAGAAAAAGATATCTGGAAATGCTTGAGTGAATTCCTTTGGATAGTCCATTCATGCTTTCTTGATGTTTCAATTCTTCTGTCTTAAACCTCAAGCATAAGTGTGATAACATTTGATCTTTTAAATGCCGTGGTAATTGATTTCGTTTCGCAAATGCAGACACAGCCTGAATGGTATCCCTCTATAAGATTGAAAAAGAACTTAACATTAGAAAAAGGTAAATATGACATTAAGTTTGTATGAAAACTTTTTTTAGAAGCGGGCTATAGAGTTCAGTTAATTCATAAACCAATCTAGTAAGTTGATCTTCTAGAAATCATTCCCTGCTGCTATTTATTCATTTGCATTAAAAAAACATTTTATTTGTTTTGATACACTAATATTTCTGAAGTGTCACTAAAAGAATTGAGTAACTTGATCGGTTATTGAAACACTCTGTATAACATTTTTCCATACTAGATGAATGAGATTTAAAAAACATAACTCTCTTTATGATGGAAGTTGTCAGGTTTACTGAGATGTGAAAAGTGGCTTATCGTAATATTTTACTTCAATGTGATTGTTTATAATCTTAATGAAAAAAAGGGGAATAATTAGAATGCTTGATTGATCAAGAAGCTTTATAAACTTTGAACCTTTTTTTTTATATTGATTTTCCTCGTTGCAATCTCAGTGAGTTTCTCTTTCTTCCATCTAATTCTTAATATCTTCTTCCCTTGATTAGTGGCCCACAAAGTAGAGGTGAAAGATATAGTAAGCTGATATTTTAATAAGTCAACCTCATAACAACAAAATTCTTCCCATGAGTGCTTCTATCATTCTTAGGACTTCATCTTTATGAAAAAGAAAAGAGAGAAGAGAGAAGAGAGAAGAGATGAAAGATTGGTGATAATGTTTAGGAATGAGATTTACACAACTTATATACAAAATATATACCTATTATCCTCAATCGAACTTCTATAAATTCAGTACTTACCATCATCTACCTAACATCTACATTATGATACCAACCTAATAAATTCAAAATTATTACTTGCCACCTTTAAGCACCATAAAAGCAGATGGCTCCAACGTGTTGACGATTACACAAAAAAAGCAAATAGAAGGAAGAGGGAGAGACAAAAGAGGGGCTTAATTAAGCTTCTAGCCATGAAAGGGAGAAGCTCTCGACGTAGAGGAAAGAAGAGGGGAAGAAACTCTTGTAATAAGGGATGATTGTAAAAAAAAAACATCTCGTTTTCTATATTTAGCCCTTATTTTTGCTACGGATGGCTGCATTTTCTCTCATTTTTCAAAACAAATAGTAATATATGTATGTATGTATGTGTATATATATATATATATATATATATATATATATATATGTCATTCTAACCATAGCTCGTAGATGCAAATATTTGAGAAACCTTGCTAAAATATAAAGTGGAAGGAACATACAAAGTTTCTCGTACGGCTAGTCCCATGAACGACAAGGTTAGTCATGTTTCCAATGAGGTAGGCTGTCAGTCCCAAGTTGAATAACATGTAGAAAATACTGAACAACATTTCTCTTGGGTTCTCAGCATGTAAATCACCATATCCAGTTGTTGTCAGTGTTGTAATTGACCAATATACTGACGTTACATATCTGACCCACAGGCTTTGTGCTCGAAAGTTTGGCGTTACCACACCTATCCAGGTTCTTCTTGCATCAGGATATCTGTCAGCAATTAAGTAGTTGGCACATCCAGCACAGTGTGCTACAAAAAGAGTTACCTGTAATTTTAATTTTTTCGTAAGACCCTGCTCGAGTAAAGAAGAAAGAAAATACAGAATACTTGCTAGAACTAGTTTGGTGCAGCGGGTCCAGAAATAGTTGGAACGGATGTCTTTCTCAAGCCTGACAAGATGCAAGCACTTTGTCACTTTCTTCGTTTTAGTTGTCATTTATAATTTAGAAATGTTGAGAAAGAGTCTAACCTTGCAAATAAGGAGTTTACTCTACGTAGACGCCAAAACCGGAGCATATTGAGTGCCTTGAAACCTATATCACCGCCATGTTTTGTGAAAAGATGTCTGATTGTTTGAAATGGCATTGCAGAACATAAATCGAACATGAACCACGAGGATATATACCTACAGATTCGTTAAAATTTGTCACTACAATCAACTTATTATACTTTTGAAGATGCTTATTTCAGAATATATATACCTTGTTGTAATTCTCTTGTGATCATCTACCAGAAGACAGGATTTATGATCAAGGTAGGAAACAAAGAAGGTGAGAGCTATATCAATTCCAAAGAAACCATTCACTATGTTATCCACATAAGAAAGCAAATTTGGTGAGTATCTTAAGAAAGCCAGTTCAAATGGGCAAATCCAGGTTGAATAGATTACTAATATGATGAGAAACATCTCCCAGGCTCTGAGAGGAAGACAACAGAAGAGTAGAATGAGCAAATTCCTTCTTCATATTTTAGTATTCAGAAGTGGAGCTTTGATTTACCTGTATCGTGGATCATAAGGCGAAATTATATACTTCCTGAGCTTGGTATACTGATTTAAGCTTGCTCCCAATGGTGGCATTATATCAGTAGAGAAGGTTATGTCACTGCCATAATGGAAACTGTTATCATTGAAGCATTGTACGTAGGATTTAGAGCAGGAAAATCTCATTTTTACTTTCTGATTGCCAAAACGTGGGAGGGAGGGAAGGTGTATATATAGCAGCTAAATGAAGGTCCATGTTAACTTCATTTGGTGGCAAGTATAATATTGAGGTCAAATTAAAGGTGATGAAGGAGCAAAAAAGGTGAGGGTAGAAAAGTTTGAATTTTGCATTGTTTGTGTTTGGATGTGGGCAATGGAAGTGGGAAAGCATGTATCTTTTTTTAATTAAATGGCACTCACTTTGGGAAGATTCCTGAATTCATGGGTACTATGACAGCTTAACGCTGGTATATAGATAAAATCTAAGAGAAACACCGAGAGTGGAAAAAGAATGAAACTAGAAAAAAAAAATCTACGCAGAAAAGACGTTGAATTTAAATAGGTTCGTCCAATGGAAGTTGCCTCTTTTGCAAATTTTATCATACTTTGATTGTCGAGAATTATTACTCTGATTCTATATTACAAAGACAAGATGGCATAGTTTATATGTCATCAATGCTGAACTGCATCCTTTGTACAACACTTAATGTCAAATCCATTTTCTTACAATATCAGGATAATTGCTACATACGAGGCAGTATTTCTTTTTGTTTTAATGGAGATGCTGTAGCCTTAATTGAGTCTGGACCAGCAAAAGTAAAAAAAAAAAAAAAAACCAAAGAAGTTACTAGTCTTATCAAAAAAGCTACTTTGGATTATGCAAAGAGTAAACGAAATGTGTAGTGGTAATCAAATCCCTATTTTCCTTTTGAGATTTGGTTAAAATAATTCAAAGAGTAAACGCACCAAATGTCAGGAGGATTTTATTAAGCTGCAGCTCTTAGTTTTCTTTGGATTTATGACCCTCGTCTAGGCTTCTCTTTAATGACGGGCATTTACATGCATGCCACCCAATTCCTATGTATTTACTTATCCAACACTAAACATTACTTTTTATATTTATAGCATCCAAAATTTTCATATTAAATAAAAAAAACGACCATTTTTTAACTTTGTAAAAGAGAAATACACATTTTTATGCATGTATATGGTGGCATGTACGGAAATATTGACGTTAAGGTGTTAGATATGTAAATACATAGGAATTGAGTGGTATGTATGTGGTATGCATGTATTTATTGAAACTTTTTACACACAAATATATCTGTGCGTGTGTGTAGAGAGATAGAGAGAGAGAGAGAGAGAGAGAGAGAGAGAGAGAACGCACTATTCTTTCTGAATAATTAATGTTCTTATTCTCTCACATCTTATTTCTCACAAAATTTTTGATGAAGTGTGAAAATATGTTGTTTAATATATATATATATATATATATGCTTGTCTTTTTTGTTTCGTGTAATTGTCTGAGATCTTTGATTTCCTTTCAGAGCATAAATAAGATTTGTTTATCAAAATGATATGTGGCAACTGTTAATCCAGGTACTCCCACTCGACATATTTTTTCATCAGAGTCTTCTTTCTTTTTTTCATGTGTCTTAGCTTTTAGTTGAACCGTCGTCAATATTCATGCTTCGTTCTATACAATTTTCAATTTGTTCTTGAATAAATTGATGATTAATATTCGTATATTTCATCAATGAGTAAAAGATTGAATTCACAAAGAAATGAGCAATAATAGTTGCATTATCATAATATATCAAGTGCTGTCTTTTCTGTCAATGTCTTTTTTACTTGTGTGCTAGATCTTCATACAATACTAATATATTAAAATTGCACTCTATTATCGTAAATTTACCAGCACACAACAATCATAAGTGTTGCCAAACATATTTTTATTTTATGTAAAATAAAATTGAAAAAGAAAAACAAGTGATCCCAAACATTAGTCGAACCATTTTAGATATGCTTGCTTCGTTCTATATCCTTTTTTAATTTTCTTCTCACATAAAATGATAATTAATAGTCACATATTTCATTAATGAATAAAAGATTGGGTTCACACATAAATGAGCGATAATACTAGCATTATCATAATACATCACCTAGGTTTGAGGAAAGTGGATGCCAAAGTTCGATAAATAGAAAGTCGAACCAATGAAGTTCAGTAGTTGTGGTTCCAACATGACAGAATGCAACCTCCATGAAACAAGTGGATTATAGTACTTTATTTTCTGACACTTCTAGACATGAGTTTTGATTAAGATGCACAACATGAGCGCAGGATTTGGTTTTGTTAGCTTATTGTAATATTTAATATAAATCAAATTAGAAGAAATAAATACATCAAATAATATATGTAATATTTATAAAAAAATAATTAAATAATTATACTTAACCTGTAAAGTTTTTTAAAAAAATTGGCAAATCAGAAGGTAGGATTGAGACTTCACATTCTCTATTTGTGATTCGATGTTCTAGACATAAAGCTGTGATGATCATGGTGGGTTCACTTTACCCCTTCTTTTTTTTATTTCACCTGAGCTATAGCTTTACTTATTAATATATTTTATAGGACCATTTAATACAGACCACCCAATTCATATGAATTTTCATATCTGAACTCTAAACTTTAGTTTTTACATTTATGCCGCCCAAAGCTTTTATGTAAAAAAAAGTGAAATTTGCATTTTCACATGTAGGAAATGTGTCAGATATGTCAATACGTAGGCATTGAGTGATATATAATGGGATTGGTTTTAGATAAGAATTAATGGGAGGAGCATTGCCTTAAAATTTGTGGTTAATACTGTAAAAAAATAGAATTAAGAGATTGCGCACTCCAACTAAGAAATTACATAGTCAGGTTCCTGCAATCAGATTATGACACGTCACATTTATTTAAAATTTATTCCACATCTTAAAAACTCATGCCTCCCATTAAAGTATTGCCTGAGATAGATATTGGTGCTCGCAGAAGTAACCCCTCTAGGGAAAAAATAAGTTTTAATGCAAAATAATTTAATATATATTGCTCTATCCTCTAACTGATGCTTAGCTTATCAATGATTATGATTGCTCAAAGATATTGTTTTTAGATGAAATGATAGTTTATTAAACAGCCAACTATTTTGCTGAATTTTATCTTCAAATCTGAAATTGTGAGAGTTCTTATTTAATCAATGGACTTCAAGATTCTCACTGCACCACTAGAAAAAAAGCATAATTACATAAATATCACTTGTAACATTGCTATTTACAAAACTAGCAATAAGGTGACTTGTTTGAACTATAAAAACGATGCATTTGCATGTGCTGCAGTCAAAGCATTGACAATTTGATAAAAATGTAAACTATGTATTGAGGTTTTATCGTGAATTTTGATATTTGAACGAGAGCTTTTATTTTCTATTTCTATTTTGTTTTTCTTCTCTTTATTTGTTTGTGATTGTGGGATAATTTAGATAGCTATTATTTTGATGAGCTTATATGCAAGGTTTTTGACTCTTTTACTTTTTACAAGTAAGAAGGTATTAGCATCAAACAATTTTTATAAGTAGTGCTGCTTTAGTTTTATCTATTTTGTTCAGGAATGTGAGTTCTCGTTCTTTGCTTAGTAAATAGACTTTAACTAACATAAAATAGGGTAAAGTCTTCTTGAGGTCAATTGAATTACTACTAAAAATCTTTAAGCCAAATCACTTCCTTGCAAGCTTTAATGGCTTCTAAGTATTCAACTTTTATGATTGATGATGTGCTATCTAAAATTGTGACACATGGTTGATAGTGGTTCCACCTAAAGTAAGGATGCGCCTTGTGGTGCTTATTATTGTGCTTAGGATTCTTCCCAAGTCTAAATCAATTCTCTTGAAGTTCATTCTATTTTTTAAAACTTTTGATAATGATTGTTTTTTTTTTTTTGATAATATGGTATTTATTTTGTAGTTTTGTAGTATTACTTTTTTGGATTAAACATCTATTTGTTGATTGGTCACATTGTTTGTGTAATAATTTATCTTATGCATACCATAATATATACAAGAGAATGAAACACATGAAGACTTTTTTTTTTCTTAATATTTTGTCAAGTTTTTCTTATAAATAATTTGAAAGTGACTATAGCATCATTCTTGTAATATTTACCTTTAAAATATTATACATTTTAAAAATCTTTAATTATGAAAGACTTGTGGTCCGTTTGGGGTAGCTTATTTGGTGCGGTGGCGTTTTGAAAACGCACATGGACTGTTTGGGTAAACTGCATTTTGGCATGTTATGTGTTTTGAAAACGTTGAAAGCAGCGTTTCCACACCGCACCTATCTAGGTGCGGTGACAGCTTTCTGGCAGCGATCTGGCTTTTCCAAAAAAAATCAAAATTTTTAATAGCCACCGCACCTAGCTTATCAGCAGATTATTTTTAATCAGAATATCAACAGATTATTCAATAAACTGCAGCTGCCCCAAACAGACCCCATAGTGTGCATATGGTCATATTATATTCTATTCTAACTTTAATAAACTTGCTTTACTTTTTTTAGATCTTTTTGTAAAATTCTTTTGATAATAATGTGTTCATACCAATAACTTCTAAATATTTACCCTTATAATTAATATATTGTCTATATATAATGCTCCTTAGACATTGTAATAGTGCAATGGGAAATTCAATTATATTCATGAACCAATAAAAAAATTTCAAATTGTAGATGAGGTAATTAATTTAAGCTGTAAATTTTTTATGTAAGTTACTTATAAGACTTTGTTTTTTCAGTTCAACAAAACATGTTGATTTTATCATGTTATATATAAGAAGTTTTCCTCTAAGTTATTATATAAGTAAGTTGTCCTGACATTAATTTATTAAAGATATTGTTCTTTTGCTATTACAATGCTTAATTTAATTATATAAGATAATATCTCTTTAAAGTTGATATATCTTTTCTATCGAAGCCCTTTAACAATAAGCAATAAGCAAGGGTCGAATTAGATCTTTTTTTACAGATGTGCAAAAATTTAAGTAATAAAATAATATAATAATTCAATTTAATAATAACAACAATTAAATAAATAAAAATAATTAGTTATTGATTCCAAAGAAAAAAATAGACAACTAGTAATACAATACAATCAGATTTATAAAAGAAAATTATAAGTTGACAACAATATGAAAATTTATAAAAATATAAATAGGAAAGAAGTTTGGCTTTTTTAGTAATTGTATTTGGTGCAATGGGAAATTCAATTATAAGCATGAACCATTAAAAATTTTTAAATGATGAACTACTTAATTTGAGCTTTAAAGTTTTTATTTAAGTTGCAATTAAGATTTTCTTTTTTCAATTCACAAAACATGTTGGTTGTATCATGCATAACTCTCCCTCTAAGGCATTATATAAGTAAGTCGTCATGCCATTAATTTATTAAAGATATTTTTCTTTTGCTATTATAATGGTTAATATTGGGTGAATAATAATTATTTTAATTATATAAGAGAATATCTCTATAAAGTTGATATGTCCTTTATATTGAAACCCTTTAACAATAAGCAATGGTGGAATTAGATCCTTTTTATGTGTGTGCAAAAATTTAAGTAATCAAATAATATAATAGTTTATTATAATAATAACAATAATTATATAAATAAAAATATAATTAGTGATTCGAAAGAAAAAAAATAAACTACTAATATAACATAACCAAATTTATAAGAGAAAACTACAAGTACAAGAATATGAAAATTTATAAAAATATAAATAGGGAAGAGGTTAAGTTTGGCATTTTTAGTGATAGTATTTGGTGCAATGGGAAATTCAATTATAAGCATGAACCAATAAAAAATATTAAATTTTTTATGAGGCATTTAATTTAAGTTATAAAGTTTATTTTTAAGTAACATATAAGACTTTTTTTATCGATTCAACAAAACATATTGATTGTATCGTATCACGTATAAGTCTTCCTCTAAGTCATTATATAAGTCGTCCCAACATTAATTTATTAAAGATTTTATTTTTGGCTATTATAATGCTTAATA